AATAAACTGAAACTTCTGAAGGAACGTTGTTGAGTGTCTTGACTGGGAAGCCTGACACTCTGTTATGCTTGGCCTGTAATGCTGATTGTCATATTTCACTAAAAAAACCCGAAGCAGACTGCCAGAGGGGCCCCTGCCCCCAGTGCTGGTATGTTCTCTAAGGTTTAGCACAAGGCAACGGTCCAAGGCCAGGTCTACCAGTATAGTGGACTGGGGTGGGTAGACCTGTTCTCTGGAGGCCAGGTCTACCAGTATAGTGTGGGGGGAGGTGGGTAGACCTGTTCTCTGGAGGCCAGGTCTACCAATATAGTGGAGGGGGGGGGGGGGAAATTTGGCGGGGGGGGGGGGGGGGCAGAGCTGTCCTCTGGAGGCCAACTCTCCCAGTACAGTGGACTGGGGTGGATAAACCTGTTCTCCAGAGGCTAGGTCTACCAATATAGTGGAAAGGGGTCAGTAGACCTGTTCTCCAGAGGACAGGTCTACCAGTACAGGAAGGTGGGGAGGTGGGTATACATGTTCTCTGGAGGCCAGGTCTACCAATATAGTGGACTGGGGTGGGTAAACCTGTTCTCCAGAGGACATGTCTACCAATATAGTGGAAAGGGGTGGGTGAAATTTGACTTGATTCTGTTTTCTCTCATAATGTTTACATTATCCTTAAAATATAGTTTAAATATAATTTTAAATAATTTATTCTGAGATTTTTACAAGGTTATGGAAGTAATCTTCTAAAAAACTAATTTATGCAATAGTCGAATATGTACTAGCTTTTTTTTTGCTCATGAGGCAGAATTCTGCTCACAACACTCTGGAGCTTAGAGGGAACACTGACCCTCAGCCAAATGAGGGAAAGGAGGCTTGGCTTTTTTCCTCCCCTCTGGAAGCAGGAAGCTGGAGAGAGCTGGGCAAAAGTGAGCTGCGATGCAGGAAGCAGGAGGAAGCCAGTTGCTCGTAAGCCAGATAGGAACCCTACAGGGGCTGGATCTGGCTGTATGTTTGACACCCCTGGGCAAAATCCAGCATGCAAGGCAACATTTCTTAATCAGATGAGAAACTGATTTCTTCCATGAGGAAGGGAGAGTTAGCTTAAGAAGCTTTTGCAAGAAAGCAGGGGCCTCTGAAGCAACCCCTCATTTCCCAGTGGAAGAGAAACTTTGTGTTTTTCTTCTGGAGTGGGTAGATAAGGGGAGGAGCCAAATGAAATTATGACAAATTATGACAATTACAAACCATCAATTTGCTACCAATGTTCTATGCAATCACTGTTTCCTTATGTTAAAAAATAACCTATACTGCCTTTCTAATTTTGTGATCCAAAGAAGTACACAATAATAGCAGTTGTCAATCAATATGTAAATCAACAGCTTATTTCTTTACATCTGTGATGACACATATAGATCAAATATGTGAACACAAAGTAACTGTAAGACTTCATAATGGGTGCAAAATTCTTGAAATGTACTATTTTAGATTAGAGCCAGTAATTAGTTATAAAATATAGAACAGGATTAATGGGACACCCCAGTTAAATGTAATTGTCAGTGAATACAGCAAAGCGACAAGATATTCCACTCCCTCAGATATGTATTCAAGGCTAGGTGGGATGTCGAACATAATCTTACTTGCAAAAGAGTACTTGGGAGAAGTCCAAAAATATTTTATAGAAGCAAATGGGTTCCATATGCTTACCTGTCCATAGCACGGTCCCTCATTCGATCCCGGCGCTTCTGTTTCTCTTTTCTTTGTTTGGTCTCTTCATCATCATCATCACAGCCATCACCAGATGCTACAGAGAGTTACATTTAAAGCAGTTCTTTAAGAACCAGCCTCTTACATTTGCTTTAAGCTGTTTTGGGATACAAAAATCTGATCTCCTCATCCCTTGACTTGCTTTACTTAGAACCAATTATGGACCTCAAGTGGACACCATTTTTTGAAAAAAGAACAAAAAAACTGTCAGTGCTTCATTTGGCAAGTGCCATTTTAAAAGGCACACCCATGTCACCTGTCCACAATTATGGCCATTAGTCACGTTATTCAGTACCAGTGTGCAGGCATAATCATTATAGCCCCCAGGAAGAACACTAACAGAGGAATGTACTTTCCAGAAGCAATTTACACTTTCATGTCAGAGCTGTGGTATTTAAATTTGCCCTCAACGCAGCTGTAAGCCAGCATGGTATAGTTGTCCGATTCTGCTGAGAGTGCAGTGGGGAATTAAGTCCCCACTTAATTATGAAATGTACTAGACAGCCTCAGCCAAACCAGTCTCTCCCAGGCTTGATGAGAAGCTAAAATCCCACTCTGACTGGTTAGCAGCAAAGACAAGCAATAAATGAATGTTGTTTTAATTAGTGGCATTTAGGTTTCATTGCATTGTGCCGTTAAGCTTTTTTATGGTAAACTGTCTCAAAAGCAGGAAATAATTATTCAAAATTCACAGTAAAACAATTGAATCCACAATATAATAAGACAAATTATTATAGAAAACCAAACAGTGAAGCCAAGAACTTTCCATCCAACCCCCCCCCACATTAGTAACTAAAAATGTGATATAATCTAGATATTCTACTCACCCTTGTCCATTTTTCATTAGAAGGTTTACAGAGTCTAACAGTGCAATACTAAGAACAGTTACACCCTTCTAAGACCACTGACTCCAATGGGCTTAGAAGAATGTACTTCGAGTTAGGACTGCACTGGAAGAGATACAAGTTGATTAGTGGGGAAATAAATGAATGACAGAATAGCAAATTAATTCAATGGCAGAATGCAGGCTTTGGAGGCATAAGGCGTTCAGCTCTTGGTTTTGCCTGTTAAAGATGACTTCAGGTAGTAAGACATATGCTTGAGACCCAAGAAAGGCATTGCCTTTTCAGAATTCGCATTGGGGTCAAAGAGACTTCCCAGAAGTCAATTCCATGCTGCTATTACATTAAAATATTGACTGGAAATGAAGTAGCAAGAATCAAAACACTATACAGTTCTATAGTGGATGTCACATTTAAAACACACAATTCTGTCCATCTCAAAAACAGTATCAGCAAAAAAAGGAACAAAAATGGGCAAGTATGATCAGAGAGTTTGAGCATTTTCTAGACAAGTTAAACAGTCTAAGGCTGCCTAGGAATTAAGATCAAATTCTAACTGCCCCATCTATAAGTTTGTTTGGTGGGTACACGAGTGAGGGCCTTTTCAGTGTCAGCCCCACAATTATGGAACAACCTACCCAGGGAGGTGTACCCGGATCCCTCACTTTCAGTCTTTAGGAGAAAGTTGAAGACTGTTTTATTTACAACTGCATTTGGTTAGGTTTAGTAGCAGACCTGAGTAGTGATTTTAAATTTTGGTTTTATGTTTTGAATTTATTTTTTCCGATGTGTTATATTTATGTTGTAAGCTGCCTTGAGCTCCATAGGGCAGGGAATTCTGGTTTTCTCACACCCTAATTAGCACCTCAAGTGGTTAAGACGCTGAAGTGCAGGCTGTGGAAGGTCAGTAGTTCAGCAGTTCAAGACCCGGGTGCCGCAAGACAGGGTGAGCTCCTGTCTCTAGTTCCAGCTCCTGCCAACCTAGCAGTTCGAAAGCAAGAAATGGCAAGTAGATAAATAGGGACCACTTCGGTGGGAAGGTAACAGCATTCCGTGTGCCTTGGTGTTTAGTCATGCCGGCCACATGACCACAGAAACGTCTTTGGACAGCGCTGGCTCTTCGGCTTTGAAACGGAGATGAGCACCGCAACCCTAGAGTCGGATTCGACTGGCTTTCGAGCAAGGGAACCTTTACCTTTACCTTGAGTGAATAGAAGGTGTCTAGTAACAGAGGCTTCAGCAGTTCATTCGAGCCATGCTACCTTTTCCATGAATACTCTGCCATTACAAAAAACAAACATGTAATTATAAGCCAGAGATTTAATTAACAACACTTCTAGATGTTACATGGGTTAGGATCAACATTTAATCTAAAATACAACACAAAAGGAAGGAAATATATTAGATATGCTTGTTGAATGGTGAACTTCACCCTACCTTTACAGCTTTAAAACCTTCATAATGCTCCTTTAAAAAAAAAGGATGGGGGAGGGAGGGAGGGAAAAACACTATTAATACTACATATTATTTCAAAATTTCATGCAAGGTATGTTGTGTTACAATGTTATTAATCAGATATATTAATCATTTTTATCTAATTTACTAATCCATATCTAAGACAAAAATTGTAGCAGTATTTTCCATTGATAAATGTTGACATATTGATTGAAACAGAACCCAGATTTTTGAGACTCTTTTAAAAGTCTGTAGGCCTTAAAATGTAATTTTTCCTATCTGAAATGAAAGCAAAAATTCTTATAGATAGGCTTGCCAAGTCCCCCCGGGGGTGAGGAACCCCCTGCCTGAGAGGTCCGTTACCCGCCGCTGCCTGATCGGGCCCCGGGGGGAACCCGACCCCCAAAGCATGCAACGTGCCTGGCATCAGAACGTCACCCGGAAGTCATGCAGTCGCGTCGGGCGCGTTGGGGGCGGGGTCGCAGTCATCCGAGGGAAAACTCTATGGTTTTCCCAGCGTGCCCGACATGGTTGCATCACTTCTGGGTGATGTGGTTGCGGCGCGCGCTTTGCGCACACACACACGGACTCCCGGAGCAGCGCTGGAGTCCCCCGCTCTACATACAGAGAGGACTTGACAACCCTACTCATAGACCTATGGAAGTTCTGACAACTTAAAGCCCCCATCCCATTCAGATTTCAGGAATCTGAAACTCTGGGCCAAACATTATTTTGGTAGCAAAGTGTCACCATGGAAACAGCAGGAGAGACTTTAAGGCTTTACTCCTATCTGTTTGATGGTGTGTACAGGACATCTGTCCAGCCTATACTGTATTTATGTTAGGCTGGACCTTTTGGACATCACAATCTAGCCACTAGGATTGAAGGATCAAGAATGTCCTGCATACATATAAATGCATTATGGCTTCAATTGACATTATGTTGCATGTGTACAGAAGGTGGATACAAATAAGCATATCACTTGCTTTCTTCATTATAATAGAGCCAATGAAGTATCAAAAGACCAGGTTTGCACAAAGTTACTTACACCTTTATCTCCTTCATCTTCTGATTTAACATCTCCTTCACCATCATCTGTCAAATATACAAAATATAATTCAACCAATGTGGGAAACCACACCCGTTCTTTTAATGATCGAATAGCAGCCTGTTATAAGAATTGCTTAAACCAAAAAACTGGTAACAGAAGATAACTTGTTGGTATATCTTCTCCTTTTTCATCTTGGCTTCTAATTCTTCCTAATTCAGAGATTCAAATTATCAATTTCTAAGAGAAATTGTCACAATACTGTAAAGTCCACAACGCTTCAGTGAAAGTAAAATTTTATCATGACATGCTCTAAGTAGGTATAGCATCAGACTGCAAATATTAAAACCATGTTACCTTTCACTGGAAATACAGCATCTCAAAAATAACATCCTTACCATTATCAGAGTTATCTCCTTCACTATCTGTCTTTGCCTGTTTGCTTTCAGGTTCATCTGCACTTTGGGACTGTTTCCGTTTACGTAAGTTGCCTTCATTATCTGAACGCCCACCTGGACGACCACGGAAACCTCTCCTCTTGAGCTAGAAATACAAATTGAGTAAAACATGCCTGGTCAAATTATTTGCAAGTATCTGCAAAAATCCCCACATGTTTAAAAGTTCATCCTATATTTTCTTCTATTAAATCTGCATAACCACATCTCCTTTAGTATAGGATATAACCCTGCCAGCATGCCCCAAGTAACATCTGTGAGTCCCTGCTAATGTAATTATTTTTAGCAAAACGAAGACATCTAAAATGGCTGGAGAACACTACTTTATCTGTCAAGACCTCTTCTCAACGATTGTAATGAAAGGTTTTATCAATAGCCCACATAAGGGCTGTAAGAGGTCATCTCCTCTTTCCATTAACGCTTACTGAAAGCAACCTGAATACTACAAAGAGCAACAACTGAAACAGCTACAAACATAATAACAGTTTCCAGTCATAACTTTCTGAACTTACTCTACTTCGTGATCTTCCAAAGCCATAGGGCATGTTGCCAGGAAACCTTCCCCTGCCCTGCATTCCCATCATGCCGTAATCATAATCGCCATAGTTGCCATAATCTCTGTAGTCTCCACAGTTGCCGTAATCACCACAATCTCTGTACTCAGGGCCGAGTCCTTGGGAAAAGAGTGATGGAAGCCTGTTTGGTCCAGGTCTTCCCATATTCCTGCCACCCATATAATTCATCTGATTCCATCGTGCAGACAGCCGTTCTGTACTTGGTGGGTCACGATTGAAAGTGTTTAGATGCCCTTGACTCTGCGCTCTCCCTCTACCAAAGCCATAGTTGTTTCCTCTGTTGCGGGGCTGATCTCTGCGGTTACCAGCAACATCATAGTGGCTTCCAAAAGAATCATTCCTCTCAGATCCAACTTCACTATACTCATAGCTGGTTCTGTACAGGTCACGGTCAGGCACTGAGGCTCTAGAGTCATAAGACTCAAAAGACTCAAATCTGAAAGAGCTGAATCACAAACAAAGGATCTTGTCAGTGGTTAACAGAAGCTTTGATAGCAAAACTGAAGATATACCAATAGAGCCACAGTTTACTATCCTGGAGGTTTCCTAGAATGGTTATTTGCTTCTCCATCAGGGAGGGGCCACATGAAGAAGATCCAAAGTTTCCAGCATTTCCAGTTTTAAAAGATCTCACATAAAGGGTTGGCCTCTGCTGAAGACCCTTGAAAGTTGCAGTTAATTAATAGAGCAATGGACCAATACTTTGATTTAGTTATTTATACAAGCTTTTTATGGAGTTTCCCGCAGTATCAAACAAGAATGAGAAATATCTAGTTTAGATAGGAAGACAAAGCACTGAAAACCCTGCTTGAAACATCTCACGTGGCATTCATCAACCATAACAGGTGCTGATAAAAAATGTACACAAGACATTCCCTGTAACAAGTTGTCCTGTCTTTTATGAAGGATAACTGAGAAAATATATTCAACTTAACAAGGTGACTACATTCTTATTAAACTATACTATCCTATTGTACTTCAAGAATTCAAGTGGTATTTAAAGCCAAGCACTGATTTTTAAGATGAAGAGAAACTTCAGTCACCTTCCCTGATCTTCCATTCCTTCCCCAGTGCCACCACTGCTTTCCTTAGACAGCATATCCAGGCGCTGGTTTATCTTTGCTATAATGGAGTCAGAGTTCTCAGTGCCTGCTGCTCCAGTACTGTAACTTGCATCTTGCATAGTGTTGCCAACATCAGCATTCATTGTCAAGTTGGTAGCTTTAGAGGTGTCCCAGGCAGTGGCGTTGACAGCAGCAGTGTCATAGCTGTATGTGGGAGCTGTAGTAGAGCTGTTTGTTTGGGCACTGTAATAGTCGTAGCCCTCATAGCCTGATAAAAAGGAAAAATACAAGTTGTGGATGCTTTCATGGCTAGAAGGCTGGTGGAGAGTCATCATTGCAATAATGCATCCATTCTGGTTATGCTGATGTAGCCAGATGAAAGAGGCATAAATGGTAAATACTCTACGTACTATTAAATAATCAATAACAGGTCAAGGAGTATGGCTCCATAAAAGCAAACTTACCTGAACACTTTAGAAGGAGGGCAGGATACAAAGAACAAACTGCACCATATCATTTGGTTATACTGAATACTACATGAAATACTTGTTAACACCTCCTTGTGCCCCCACTGATTTTATTCTCATAAGTTCCAAAAGATGTGGCAAAACATTCAACAGGGTATTTTTTAGTGAAAAGCAAATCCACAAAGGCAGCAAGCACCCTTGAATACAACATACCTTGCCAACTTCCTGGATTTGTTGAATATGCACCTTGATGGGATAAAAAGACAAAAGTTGTTTACTATATTAAATGCATCAATCAAGGCAATACAATTGCATTGTATCAGAAGAAATTATTGTTCCTCCTGATGTTAGCAAGTTAGATCATTTGCAACCACAAAATCAAAAACCTTCTTCAAACAAATTACCATTTGCATTAGTATAATTTAAGTCCTCCCATAGCAATACAGTAAAATATGAACAATATGTTAAGGGCTTGAAATGCAACTGCCAAGAAATAAAGCTGAACAGAACACCAGTCACTTACTTTGACAGCTCTTTCTCTGTGGAACTTGAGGGAATAAATTTGATAGTTGGGGGACTTTCCCATCATCCTTTGAGGCAGGAAATAAGTTGCAATCCCTCAGCTCCTCCTCTTTTTGTAGCTGTTCCTACTCAGTTCTGACACTTCCAGGACCCCAAGGAAACTTACTATTATACATTTAAATAAAAGAGGAACATACTGCAGCACTGATGGCACAGGTGGCAAGCATTTCAAAGGAGAAACCAATGAAGAAGGTGGCATACTGAAATACGGTAACAGACAGAGCCTAGTGCAAAGTGGACATTAGCTCCCCATGTCAGAAAAAAACACAGACAATATCCTCCTTTAATTCAGGGTAGGACAAAATGATGCTGTCTGGAGGGTGACAGCTCCACCCCAATACTCATTCACTCTTCCCCGGGGGGGGGGGGGGCTGCTGGGACAGGTGGTGGTTGCTCTTTCAATGGCCAGGACTGCCCAGGCACCACCAGGCTTAGCCAGGAGCTGAGAAAGGAGGGTGGGAGAGAAGCTACACCCGGAGGCATGGCAGGATTGGCCTCAGTGCTGGGTGGGCCTGCTGTGCAGTTTGGAAGCAAGGTGGGCCATTCCTTCTGGCAACCCAGATGATGAGGCTGGCCTCCTGGGACACCACCCGGGCCAGGGAAGCAGCCCCTTGAGGAGGCCTGATAAGGAAGGCCATTGGCATGGGTTCTGCTCACTCATTAAGGCCCCATCCCAGGAGATGGAAGCACTGGCTGAGTCCAGGATTGTCCTGCTCCAGCATGACCCTTTATTAGACCAGCCAATGGAGGACTGGTGATGAAGAGTAAGGCCTGAGTAGTCAAGAGGAGAGGCACTAAGCTGGAGAGTTAGGGCTCTGGGTAAGGCAGAACCCCTCTCCTGTCAACTGGGGCCCAATCCCACAGCTTGCTCAAAAAGGAGGCTGGAGGGCTGCTGGCCTCAGACTCCAACCTGCAGAAGTTGGAATCTGACAGATGCCCTCAAGTTCCAGACCAAAGGAACCTTCATGATAAGTGACCAAAGTTCCATTTTCATCTGGAACTATAATTTTTATAGTTGGGATGTCCAACAGTTATACGGGTATTTCCAGGGTGGGACCACTTATAATAAAACAGACACATCATAGGACATTATGCCCAAAAGCTGCAATGACTGAGGCTATGTTGCCCCTCAACTTCCACTGGGGCATTTGTGTTGAAGGCAGTAGATGTGGCTGCACTACATAGTGAATGTGCCATGAAGCCCAAGGCATTTGTTTCACAGGCTGCCAATATACATTGATTCAGCCATCTGCTTAGTGGTACTTTGGATACTTATTTGCCCCAAGCTATTGGGTGAAATGCCATAAATAAGGAGTCTAACTTTCTCAAGGAAGATGTTCTCCTGATATGTATTCCAAGTGTAAAGTACGCCATTCCTTTTTCCCTCAGGTGGGAATGACCAGGGCAAAAGGATGGGAGACAGATCTCTTAACTCCTATGAAAAGAGGTACTGACTTCTGGAATGAAAGTTGAGTCTGTAAGACTATCTTGTGTTTGTGGAATACACATAAGCCTTGATGAATTGAGCAATGAATTCCTACACCTTACAGAATCATAGAATCACAGAGTTGGAAGGGGCCATACAGACCATCTAGTCCAACCCCCTGCCAGGCAGCTGCCTCTCTGCACCCCCCACTCTCTGAGTGGTCAGCTGCAGAGCTCAGTGTTTTGAGGTTAAAAAAAAAGTACAGGGGACTGCAGAGAGCTAATGACAGTTGAGGAAATCAGAAGTGGCCAACCGCCTGTGAGGTGAAGCAAAGCTGCTGGCCCAGCCTCCCTATGGCTTCAAACATGCTGCCCCCTCCAACACCTGACAGGCAGTTGTCTGTCAGGTGCAGCAGCAGTTGCGGGGTGCTTAAAGCCGAGCGGGAGCCCGCCCCAGCTGTAATACCTTAGTGATCCTGCCAGCCCCACCTCCACAGTGGCTTCTAATACTCCTCCCCCCTCCCCCTCCTACACTGGACAGTCCACCACATCACCACTCCCTCACATCAACTCCCCCTCACACCTCTTCCTGCCCCCAAGAAAGCTCCTAGCAAACACATTTGTGCATAGTACTCCTGTGGAGCACTGAGCTACACAGGCCAAGTATCAGTGAGATCACCCTGAGGTGCTCAGAACAACACTGTCTCCATATGAGCAAAACAATCCAGGAACACAAGTAGAAAGGCCATCACTTTTGTGGAAGGTGGCAGGAGTTCTGCTTCTTAAATAGACAGTTCTATATGGCCTGCTCCAGAGTGAGCTCACCAAGCAGTCTGGTGATCCTAACACCTCAGGGCAGAACCACCAATGTGGTCTACAGAGAGGTCCTTCAGTAGGGGGAAAAAACAAGTATGTATGTCTCGCTTCATTTTTTACACTACAATCTTCTCCATTAGAATTCCTACAACAAATGTTACATTTCAAACTTCACATACTCAGTATTATAACTGGATTTACAGAACTTAAATACCGTAGCGAACCACGGGTATCAGGCTAGTAAATACAATAAAACATTAAAATCATGAAAATATACAACAATAAGTTGTATATAGAAGACCTTCTGGCTTAGGAGAGGTGACTGCAGCAACTTGCTTCACTTCCTGGCAATTAAAGTGGCTGAAGCTGGGGGCCTGCAAGTTCTGCCAAAGAGACTTAGTGGATAACTCAGCTGGCTGCAGATCTGTCTAAATGCCTGAGGACATAACTGCCATTTTTCTGGTAATACTTGCTGTCTGTTCAGACAATCTGCTTCTAGACTGTCTGCCCCCCTGTTGTGGTCCACCCTCACGTTGGGGATCCACTTCTCCACCCAGGATAATAACCTTTCTGTTTCCAACAGGAGTATGCTGGATCTTGTTCCTCCTTGCCTGCTTATGTATGCTGTTATGTTGTCAGAGAAGTATTCACTAAAGTTGCCAGGTCCCTCTAAGTTGAGTTAGTGTAAGCTAGCTCATAGTTTTTTAGCCTCAGGCTCACACATTTTTGTCTTAGCCCAGGAAGGATGGCTCCAGAGCAAACTAATTTATGCCATAGCCAAATCACTTGCTCACAACTTTAATGCCAGGAGCTCACAAAGTAGAATTTTTGCTCACAAGACTCCTTGGCATAGAGGGAGCATTGCTGGCAACAGGTAGGGGATGTTAGGGAACTTATCAGGAGAAAGAGGGTGGGCCCAGGCTGAGGTGTAAGAAAAATGGAAGTTTCTTTCTCTGGAACATAGCTCAAGTGGCTTGTAGCTTCACAGACTCAGATAAGGGAGGTAACCCAGGCGCCAGTCATACCATTAGGCCCAGTAACTTCTAGGACACAAGAATCTAGGACACTGGTTCCCAAAGCGGGCAATACCACCCCCTTGGCAGCGCTGGAACGATCCAGGTGCAGATCCACAAACTGCATCTTTTTGTCCACTTCTTGAAGGGGGGTGCTGAGTAATATTTTCCCCTAAAAAAAGGGCAGTAGGTCAAATAAGTTTGGGAACCTCTAGTTTACGAGGATGTATTCCATCTCATAGCACCTGAGCTTATGGTTGGGAAGAAGGTGTTTATTCAGTTGAACCCAACACAGCTGAAGGGTGTTTGTTAACTGATAAACCCATCATGGTCAAGTTGATGGACATAAAGAGCTTTCATTCTAGTTTTGCCCTGTGTCTGGATTACATCTGACTTTGGGACACTTCTTGTTTTACGTGGGTCTCAGTGACCAGAAATCTTGTCTTGGACTGTGGAGTTTGAAACCCCTCTGGACTTTCTGCAGAATTTTGGTACAAATCACTTATATGTTGTGTTCCTGAATTCAGGAGGCTTCAATCTAAATCCAGTACCTTAGCCCTCATTGGCTATAGCCACCAAATTGTTTTGTGAAACTCACCTTGTACTACACTACACTTGATCTTAGCCAAAAGGCCGAGATTCCTTGTAAGCATCCTACCTTGCAAGGGTGACTTAGTCCCAGGAGGGCTGGAGGTTTTGTCCCTTGGCCTCTGGCTGGTGGTAGTGCTATCCTGGGGTGTGAGGGCTCACACTTCAGTCTTTTGGTTTTGTCTTGCTTTACCTGCCCCCTTCCAAGGGATCCTGGTTCAAGGTCCCTTGACAGTCCTCTCTCACCTCGTGCTGCCTCCATCCTCTTTGGAGCCTGACTTAAACAGGCTGAGGCTGGCGATGCTGTTTGTGTGCTCTGCTGCATCTTCTCTAGAAGGGGCATTCAAATGGATGGCTCTTCTGGCCCACAGTTTGGGGAGGACAGGAATCAAATCCATAATGTTTTCTGCTGCTACTCCAAGGCTTCTGAAGCAGTGGGCTAGCTGACCATAGCCTCAGTTTGGTGCTGGTGTCAGTGGGAGTAAAAGAAGACAGACAGGGCAAGAGACAAGAATAGAGCCGATTTTTTTCCTTTAAATTTAGAGAACAAGTGTAGACTGAAGGATTGCTATGGGAGAACTACAGAAGTATAAAATAAGTAAAAAGAACAAAGCACAGAGTGCACAGGTCTCCTTGAGGACTCATCGGAGGCAGGAAAAGAACGGAGTACGAGTGGCTGCAAAGGGAGAAGCCAAGGCATTGCAACTTGTTTTCTGCCTCAAAGGATGATGGGCAAGTTTCCCGACTATCAAAATGATGCTCTGAGTTCCATATGAAAAGTAGGCATTTAATTTTTATAAAGCTAAAAAGAGTAATAACTTC